AATATATATATATATAAAATATATTAATTATAAGAATTTAAATAAAGATAATTATTGTCAAATTATGTATAATATATTATATAATAATTTTCATATTATAATAATTATATATTGTAATTAAAATCAAGTTCTTCTACGCTTATTTTAAATCATTTTTTTATTTTATAAATTATTTTTATAAATAAGTTTAATTTGTTTAATTTATTAATTATAATTATATCAAGAAAAAATGTAATAATAATATACTTACAAGTATATATTGACCAAACTTCTTTAATACAAATTTCCCTCCTTGTAATGTAATTGATTTTGGATTGGAAAATGAAGTTGAAAGAAATTGATTAATAGCCATTAGTTGACCTGCTAAAGCTAACCTTTGGGTAAGAGATACCCATGCAGGATGAAAATACATAACTGCTTCTGCAGGATCGTCATCTTCTTTACAACATCGTATAGTGTCATAAACAAATACTATCATCATCTCTCTAAAAAAAAAAAAAAAAAAGAAATCGAAATCAATTTATCATTTATATATTATATTAATTTATAAATAATAGTATAATTATATATTACAAATTATAAATATAAAATGTTAAGTATAAATAAAATGATTTTGTTTTATAAATGAAATAGCTTACCCTTCTGAAATAATTGATAAAACTGTTCTATATAATTGTTTATCAATTCTATTAATTTTCATTTTTATAAAATCATAGATATAATATTAATGTCTACAACTTGTTTTAATTTTGTACATGAATAGGTCTATGAAGTAAACAATTATGAACAAAAAATTACTGATTAGCTGCACCAATAACCGATAACAAAATAAAAGAGATAAGATTACAGGTTTAGAATACATCTTTTAAAAGTATTATGTATTACATATAATAAAAGAATATTATTAATGTTTGAAGAAGCAATAAGTTTAATAAAAATTAAATAAAAATTGCTGAAAATAATGATTTATTCATATTTATGAGAATTATATATATTATTTTATTTATTTGTATAATATACATTGTTAGTATGCAAAATTTTTAAATTTAATCTTCACTAAATAAAAAAATATAATCATTAATAATGAAATAATATGAAGAATGTAAATGTAATATGTTTTAAAATTAAAACAAAAACAATATATATTTATATATATGTATCTTTATATATATTATTACATTTAACAAATATAAAAGAAATATTTATATGTTTTATTTACACTATTTTTATACTATAATATGCTAAAGATAAAACAATAAAATTATAAATAAATAACAATTATTTACAGCACACACACATACACACACACACACATGTAAAATATCAATAATTTTTCAAAAACTATAAAGTAAATCTAAAATAAAAAAAATATATTATTTTAAACAAATAATGATTATAAAAATAATGATTATAAATTCATTAATTAAGAAAATAAAAGTATTATAACTGTTATAAAAAAGTATAAGTACACAAATTTTTTAATTAATAATTTATAAACTCACACCAACTTAAAATCAGCATTCTCTTTGACAAAAATTAAAGATTTAAAAAGGGACATGCCGCCGAAAGATCAACCAATGAATCAGGTGTAATAGCAATACAGTTTATAGCGTGAAATAGTAAACAAAGCATTATCATTGAATTAAAGATGCATTTTCTATGCTGCTATAATTAGATAAGGCTAATGTTATGCAATATCTTCGTACTTTGCCATGGTGATTGTTTACGCTTCAATGTACCGGGTTGAGAACTTCAGTTTCAATTGTCAATTGTAATTTCAAGCTTTTTTTTTTTAAGTTTTCTTTTCTCACTTATAAAAACAAACTTAACGTTGTATTTTTTGTTTTATTCTTATACTCCTTTAAGATGCTATTAAACAACACGAAAAATGCACTTCAATAGAAATGCACTTTCCTATTATATAATATAAAATCTGAGCCATAATAATCTTCATTTCCAATCACGCTGAATAGAGCCGCTCTTTTACCGCCATGCTGATATCGATCTTCCTTATACTTATATAAATGATACTCTTAGTCTTTGATCAGACTTAATGTAATTGCAACCGCGATATTTGAATTTTATTTGAACTTAATGAATTAAAATTTTATTATTACTACATTATTATTATAATTATTGTTATTATATTATTTATTTAATAATTACTTGGTATAATAAAATTAACGTAATAAAATTATAAAATATATATTTTTATATTGAAGTATATATTTAACAAATATATCATACATAATAAGTAAAATATAAATTACAAATATATCAGCTATCTGTAAGTTCTTGCAAACAATTGCGAAGAATTTCTAAAAAAATATCAGCATGATATTCTCCAAATATTAGGCATGGTCTTAACCGAATTGATTTTATTCCACATTCACCCACTTGAATACCTAATGTGCAAATTTATTTTTGAAGATAGAATATATAAATTTTGAAATATATATATATTAAAATTTTGATATTACCTTTACTACGTATCAGATGCAAAAATTTATTTTTTATATCATTGCATGGCATATCAAATGCAATAATAAAACCTCTACCTCTTACAGAATTCATAAGATGCGGAAATTCGTGTTGTAATGTGTTTAATTCACAAAGCAAATAATTGCCGACATGACAAACATGACTTAATAAATCTTCTGTTTCAATAGATTGTAATACTGCCTCTAATATTAGAATTTTACTTGGATCACCCATCCATGAATTAAAAATTCTATATGGAAGTTTAGGCCTAAATAAATAATAAATATATAATAAATTTAATAAGATTTTGGTCTATTTAAATGCTATCATTTTTAATAAATATATTACATATATTCATAAGAATGATAAAATCCACTAGCTTGCATTTTGTTACTAAAGGTAACTATATCAGGAGGAATACTTAATTCAAAATATTCATGTGCCCATATTCTTCCTGTTGCACCACCTCCTGTTTGTATTTCATCCAATATTAAAGGAATAGATTTCTGTGAAGTTTATATTTATATTATAATTTTCAATATATTCACAATAATCTTATTTTTTAAAAATATAAATAATATATTAAATGTTTTTACTTTTTTACAAATATCTTGTAAACACTGAAAAAAATCTGGAGAAGCATGTCTATCTCCTCCTTCACATTGTATTGCTTCAACTATGATACCAGCAACTGGTATTTTCTTTTCAAATTGTTCTATTAAATTTTCTACCTTTTATATTTTGATGTAAATTTTATCAATTTTTAATAATAAAATTAATTTGAACTTTATAAATATTAAATTTACTTGTTCTATGCATCTTGCATCCTCTTCCTTATTTTCTTTTTCATACTGATCCAATGGATACAAATATTGTGGAAAAGGTGCAATTGGCCATGGAAGAGAAGGTATATCAACTTTCATTATGTATTTAAAATGTGTTAATGCCAGTGCACCAAATGTTCTACCATGATATCCTCCTAATTTTATAAATTTCATCAATTTATAGTGTTGATATATTACAACACTACATTAAGGTACCTTCAAAGGAAAGAATTGACAACTCAGGACAACCAGGTGGTTTATTAAAAGGTGCATTTTCTTTTTCTTTCTTTGTAAACTTATTGCCTTGACGATGTCTTTCTGCATATTTTATAAATGCCATTTGCATAGCATATTCAGTTGAACAATCACCACAATTAGTTGTAAAAACACATTGTAATCCTTTTGGAGCTACCTGATAAATAGTATTATATTTAACAAATTCCTTTTTATTTACTATTTTTAATTATTTTTAATTTTATTTTCATTGACAAAATAAATATTTTTTAAATTTTATAAATAGAAATATCTTACACATGGTTGAAGCAATGTATCCTGTAATTTACATGGCCATTCTAAACCAGGGAATAAACCTAATGCAGGTCTGTTTGCCATTATTCGCTACAAATTTATTATATTAATATTTTTTTTAATTAATTTTGTGAATATAATAATTCCAATATAATAATTTGGAATTATATTTACTTGATTTCCTGCACAAGATAATGCACCAAGAATTGATCTATGATTATATCCAAGAGGAAGAGTAGAAAGTTGCATAAACATATCTAAAAAAACATTTCCATCTATATCTGCTAAATAATTTCCAACAGATCTTTGATAATCTGCAAAATATTGAATGGAGCCTATTTGCTGCAATATGTTATAATTATATTATATTAATGTGTGCTATTTTTTAACAAAATTTATATCTTGTCATAATAATATAAACCTGAATTTTAGAAAATTCATTGAGAAGAGCATCTGACCTTGGTCCAGGAATTTCAGTAAGTGTATATGGTTTCATTGGTTCTCCAGGTAATGGTGCTTTTGGCACATTATGATATTCTATGTATATTATTTATTAAATATAATATATTAAAATGATATGATTTTTTTCTATAATATTTTCAATATAGTTACTTTGTACTTACGACGAGGTTTTGGACTTTTTCGAATAGAATATACAATACTTTTGCACAACATATTATAAGAAATTTTTATATTTATTAAATATTGTTACTAATTATAGAGAATTTATGAAATTCTACTATACGTATATACATGTATTCTTAACTCATATTAAATAAAAATTTTAGAGAAAGTTTAAAAATAGTAAAAAGTGTGCAATGCATTCATATAAATGACATATTTTTACTTTTGTTTCAAATTATGACAGAAGAATGTAAATAGCTATTAATATAGGTTCTATATAGTATTACTTAAACTTCAAGTATTACTTAAGCTTACATTATACTTTAAATGGTAATAAAATATTAATACTAAAAAAATTCAAAATTATTTATATTATTCTATACAAAAACTTATTTTTTTAAATAAAATTAAAAATGAATTACTAAACGGTATTAATATACTTTTTTAAAGTTTCATGAAGCCACTGTCATACAGCAGTTTATTATTTTTTAAGCAATTACAAATTAAAAAAGGTAAATTAACATACTATGCTTTCATCTAACTTATATTTATAGTGCAATAAAAACAACAAAGTTTATGATTAAAATTAGTACAAATATATTTATTATAAACTAGTAATATTAGATTTATAGATGAATATAGTTATGTAATCACACTTTGTTGCTTTTTTTAATAGAAATAAACACCTTGTTACATGATTAATAAGCGGGCAAAGTGAAATAGAGCAGCGCAAAATGTACATGGCTGCAATTCTTCACCCAGTTTTTACACTTCAGTAGCATGCCAAAACTTACACAACTAATATCTAATATATATCTTAAAGTATTTCTACACTTTTTTACAGAAAAATTTTTATTTCAGTACATCTTCAAATGTCGCTTCTATGTAAGAAAAGAATACTCGATAGAACGAGTTTAGCTAAATTTGTTTTCTTAACGCATCAAAACTTTTAAGAGTATCAACGACTTTGTAAGTTCACATGCATCTCGTAAAAAATATAAGGATTAACTCTTTGAGAAACAATTTAATTCTCCTATTTGCCTCAAAAAATAAAGCTAATACATTATTATTTCCAATTAACGCTCGTATGTATTTATTATTGTGAATACTTATGTATTAATACTTGTTATTAATCTTTATTCATAAATCCTTACGAGCCAAATAATGTCCAAAGGCAAAATAGAAGAATTTCAAAGATGCATAAATCTCAAAGAGTAAATCTATCGAGGCATAATTTTCAAAATAAAATTCTCTTTAAAATGTTCGCTTAACTCTTTGCGATATATAGATCAAACAAACTTAGAGACACACAACTTCGAGGAACGCTATCAGTTTAAACACAGAATACAGCAAAGAATTAAGCGTAAAAAAATAAAAATTTAACATTTTAATAATCATAGATATATCGATATATATTGAAGACATTTGTAAAATACATTACAATAGAGATAAAATAAAGCTTCGATAAACGAGACGCATATGACACGACCACTTGAGCTTACGATAAAGCTAATGCGGTGTATAAATCTGGGCAAAGTAATTATATGTATTCTGTAACTATAATCGAAAGTCGAAGGTAAAAAACAGATCAGTGCCAGGTTTTATGAACTTTGAATTAAAAATACTGTACAAGCATCATCCTGGCAAAAATGTACAACCTGCTTTTTTCACTTAAATAAATGATTGACCATCGTTAAGACGCATCTTGAGTTCGTGAAACACATATGTTAATGTACATACACGAAACAGTTCTTAATATCAGAGAACAGATTTCCTTAAGGAAGTATTTCTTAGACCTTTACAGAATAAATCTGTGTGTAGTTTAGATTCCTAGAAATTCTCAGATTCTTCTTTATGAGTTAAATATTTACTATGTACTTTCACTCTTGTAATTTATTAGTGAAAATTAGAAGCTAGGTTTTTCTTTGCTTCCTTTCATATGAGTATGTATGTATGTATATACGTATATATATATGTATATATATTTTTGTTCCTTAGATGTCCATGAAATAATATTGCCTTTTCATATCCTGTAAGAATACAGAAACTGAATATACTTGTACATATACAATGTAGTTTAGTACTTTTCACAAATAGTTGTTTAATAGCTAAAATATAAACAATATTTTCATCAAATTCAGTTTTTGCGTTTAAATGATTTTTCTTTATATCTTTGATATATAAGAATCAAGATTCTATATATCTATTTTTATAGACACTTTTACTTGGATATATACAAAGCAGACATATCCGCTTATTTCTTATCATCTAACATTGTATATATTACTTGTAAACAATTTTATAGAAAATTTTGTGATAAAATAATATAATTACTTGTGAGCACAATAAACAAATTTGTACAATTTATTATGCATTTGCTAAATAAATCTTATATCTATTGAGAAAAAATTGATTTTTTGTTAGATAAAATATAATGACATTGGACCATTTTCTTTTTCTTTATTAAATAATAATGAACTTTTGAATGATTTCCAACTTTTTCTTTATGATTTATGATTTCGCAAAATACATTGCATTAGGTTACTAAAAACTCATCATTCTAAACGCTCAGTGGCACTGATTTGATATATTTATAATTATTCTCATAACATGCATAATTACACATATTTAATAGATGTACATAAATAATAATATTTGTGTAGAACATATGAATTCTGAACCATAACTTATTTATTATTCTCTATAAAAATTTTTATCATTTTTTTCATATATAAAATATAATAAATAA